GGGCTTGGGGGGATATTTTGGGGGAAGATGCCTCCAAGTGGACTCTTTCCCTGTTCTTTGTTTAAAACGCTTGGTGTTGGCAGCGTACAGTTCAAGGACAAGGCAAAGTTTGTACCTTGGGGAAGTTTTTAACCTAAGCTGGTAAGAATAAACTTAGGGGGGTCTTTCATGCAGGTCCCCACATCTGTACCCTAGAGTTCAGAGTGGGGAACGAACCTTGACAGCTAGGTATGAAAATTAAGGGATCCAAAAAACCATAATGCTGTCCCGTAGTGATACCTGGCAATAAACATATGATTGCAATTATAGAGTGGGGTTTTGTTTTGTTTTTCCAATTTTTGTAAACCCAGATAAGATAGAACTGAGTTTTAAAGACATTGTCAATATTTTTCTTTGCCCCCACTCTCACTAATAAAGTCAGGAATTTATAATGCTTGTTTTAGGAATAATTACAATATCCTTGTAATGTATTTTACCTTAACTTATAAATATTGTTAATCTGAATTCCATTTTAATATTGTTTTTCTCTGGGAATTTCCTTGAATATTTTTAATTACTACAATTGGCATATAGGAACACTAAACAAGAAACCCAAAGAGAATGTTACCATATGCGTTACCTAGGGAGGTGGTGGAATCTCCTTCCTTAGATATTTAAGGTCAGGCTTGACAAAGCCCTGGGTGGGATGATTTAGTTGGGGATTGGTCCTGCTTTGAGCAGGGGGTTGGACTAGATGACCTCCTGAGGTCCCTTCCAACCCTGATATTCTATGAAAGTTCTAATGATTTGAAGATATGTAGGGTAAAGACCCCTCAGTACTGCATACTACTTATATACGGAAAACGACAATGCCATAAACCTCACTACAGGGGTAGATAGCACCAGAGTGCATGGTGCCAACATGTCCAGTGCTGATGCACTCTGTGTTGAAGCAAGTGATACCACAGAGATCAGTATCAAAGGGGTTGGTGCTGCAACAGTTGGCACTTGGAACACTACCCTGAAAGTTCTAGTATCAGTAGAAGAGGCAGTTAATTTTTATTTCCATGAGGGTGTCAGCGTGCTGGTACTGTGCTTCCTGAGAGCTCCAGCAGTACCCATCTTGGGTCATGAAGTCTCCTTCATAGGATTGGTGAGGTGACTTAGACTTTCATTTTACTGGGAATTCCCAATGGGGATCTGCTCCTGCTGTCTGTGACTTTTTCAGTCCTACCCAGTCTGCAGTCTTCAAAGATGGGGACTGGAAGCTAGTGGATCCAGAAATCACAGAGGCATTTCTGGACTGAGGTTGAATTTGTCGAAGCAGGTTTCATGGAGAGGTCTATAAAACTAGCTGAAGGCATATCTCTCTTTCCTTCAAAGTTCTTTTAGCAAAGGATTTATACACAAAACACTGATGATATGACCTTCCCCCAAGACAAAAAAGGCATCTGGTGTGCCTATTATTGATTGGTATCGTCATCTCAGAAAAGAGGCAATATTTAAAGCCAGGTGACTAAAGGATGAAACATCCCTTAACCCTGATATCAGGAAGAAGTTCCTGATGAGAGAGAGAGAGAGAAAAAAAAGAAGATAGGTAAGTGTAGCAAAGCGACAACTCACTAGTGCAGCGCCTCCTGCTGGTCATCTTGGAATTAGCTCTTTTCCAGGGTACAGAGTGCCCTCTGCAGGCCGGTGTCTCACCTGCTGCTGGACTTGTGTCCCTCCCAGACCCTGGTGCCCTTTACCTCAGGGTTCTGCCCCAGCTGTGCCCCCACACTCTAGGTCTCCTCTCCCAGGGGAGCCCCCAACACTCTAAACTCACCTTGCCTCAGCGACTACTGCCAGTTGTCATCTAGCCCCCTTTCACTGGGGCAGATTGCAGTCTGTAATGGACACTCATCATTTGCAATGGATTAGGACCAGCTGCCTCAGCCTATTCCCAGGCTGCACCTCTGTAGACCCCATACCTTTGTAGGCCTTCACCAAGACCTGCATGTTTACAAGGCAGGAGCTCCCTTTGCCCTTCCCCAGCACTGCTCTGCTTCAGGTACCTTGCTCTCAGACAGCTAGCCCTTCCCACTCCAGGGCTAGAGTAAGACTTCTCCAGCTCCTGGCCCACAGCCCTCTTATCAGGGCCAGCTGGGGCCTGATTGGCATGGCCCCAGCTGTGGCTGCTTCCCCATTCGGCCTAGCTTGGCTGCTTTTAACCCCTGTTCTCCAGGAGTGGGTCAGCCGCCCCACTACAGTAAGCCATCACAAACTTGCCAAAGTGAAAACTATTCTTAGTAAAATTATTCCTAACTAACCCTAATATATAAAACAATCCACAAAAGTCTCTGTAAAATTGTGTTGAGACACTGACATTGTGGAGCTTCTCACAGCCATGGCAGTTGGGCCAATACAACCCTTTATGTCATCAGTACAGGATCACAAGGACACTCAGGGGATTACATAGCCCCATTATAGAATCATAGAATATCAGGGTTGGAAGGGACCCCAGAAGGTCATCTAGTCCAACCCCCCTGCTCGAAGCAGGACCAATTCCCAGTTAAATCATCCCAGCCAGGGCTTTGTCAAGCCTGACCTTAAAAACCTCTAAGGAAGGAGATTCTACCACCTCCCTAGGTAACGCATTCCAGTGTTTCACCACCCTCCTAGTGAAAAAGTTTTTCCTAATATCCAATCTAAACCTCCCCCACTGCAACTTGAGACCATTACTCCTCGTTCTGTCATCTGCTACCATTGAGAACAGTCTAGAGCCATCCTCTTTGGAACCCCCTTTCAGGTAGTTGAAAGCAGCTATCAAATCCCCCCTCATTCTTCTCTTCTGCAGGCTAAACAATCCCAGCTCCCTCAGCCTCTCCTCATAACTCATGTGTTCTAGACCCCTAATCATTTTTGTTGCCCTTCGCTGGACTCTCTCCAATTTATCCACATCCTTCTTGAAGTGTGGGGCCCAAAACTGGACACAGTACTCCAGATGAGGCCTCACCAATGTCGAATAGAGGGGAATGATCACGTCCCTCGATCTGCTCGCTATGCCCCTACTTATACATCCCCAAATGCCATTGGCCTTCTTGGCAACAAGGGCACACTGCTGACTCATATCCAGCTTCTCGTCCACTGTCACCCCTAGGTCCTTTTCCGCAGAACTGCTGCCTAGCCATTCGGTCCCTAGTCTGTAGCGGTGCATTGGATTCTTCCATCCTAAGTGCAGGACCCTGCACTTATCCTTATTGAACCTCATCAGATTTCTTTTGGCCCAATCCTCCAATTTGTCTAGGTCCTTCTGTATCCTATCCCTCCCCTCCAGCGTATCTACCACTCCTCCCAGTTTAGTATCATCCGCAAATTTGCTGAGAGTGCAATCCACACCATCCTCCAGATCATTTATGAAGATATTGAACAAAACCGGCCCCAGGACCGACCCTTGGGGCACTCCACTTGACACCGGCTGCCAACTAGACATGGAGCCATTGATCACTACCCGTTGAGCCCGACAATCTAGCCAGCTTTCTACCCACCTTATAGTGCATTCATCCAGCCCATACTTCCTTAACTTGCTGACAAGAATACTGTGGGAGACCGTGTCAAAAGCTTTGCTAAAGTCAAGAAACAATACATCCACTGCTTTCCCTTCATCCACAGAACCAGTAATCTCATCATAAAAGGCGATTAGATTAGTCAGGCATGACCTTCCCTTGGTGAATCCATGCTGGCTGTTCCTGATCACTTTCCTCTCATGCAAGTGCTTCAGGATTGATTCTTTGAGGACCTGCTCCATGATTTTTCCAGGGACTGAGGTGAGGCTGACTGGCCTGTAGTTCCCAGGATCCTCCTCCTTCCCTTTTTTAAAGATTGGCACTACATTAGCCCTTTTCCAGTCATCCGGGACTTCCCCGGTTCGCCACGAGTTTTCAAAGATAATGGCCAATGGCTCTGCAATCACAGCCGCCAATTCCTTCAGCACTCTCGGATGCAACTCGTCCGGCCCATGGACTTGTGCACGTCCAGCTTTTCTAAATAGTCCCTAATCACCTCTATCTCCACAGAGGGCTGGCCATCTCTTCCCCATTTTGTGATGCCCAGCGCAGCAGACTGGGAGCTGACCTTGTTAGTGAAAACAGAGGCAAAAAAAGCATTGAGTACATTAGCTTTTTCCACATCCTCTGTCACTAGGTTGCCTCCCTCATTCAGTAAGGGGCCCACACTTTCCTTGGCTTTCTTCTTGTTGCCAACATACCTGAAAAAACCCTTCTTGTTACTCTTGACATCTCTCGCTAGCTGCAGCTCCAGGTGCGATTTGGCCCTCCTGATTTCATTCCTACATGCCCTAGCAATATTTTTATACTCTTCCCTGGTCATATGTCCAACCTTCCACTTCTTGTAAGCTTCTTTTTTATGTTTTATGTGTTCTGCCATATTTACTATTCTTTCGACTCAAACTCTGCTTGTCAAAAGAGTCCAATCTTGAGCACCTGGGAAGGGGTGGGGCATACACATCCAGGATGGAATATATATGGACAATACATCTCAAAGAAGAAATGCCTCATACTAACAAAATTCAATATTTCTTGCATTTCGTTTACAGAAAAAAATCTCAATGCATACATAACAATGCCAAAATCCTTAATGCCACAACTCAGACCACTAGTAGTATGGGTTAGAAGTGAGCTAAACAACATTTTGGCTATTGCAGACAAATGACCACACAAAGCATCCCACTTTGTCCTGAATTCCTATATATATATATACACATACATTACCACTATAGCTTTTAAAAATTGAACCAGCTTTGCTCAGGCTAACTGTCAGCCAGTGTATCACGCTCTTCTCTAATCTGCAAGAAAGAAGTAGAGAAGACTTTCCCCTGTTTTAGACTCCATATATGTTTATGTTAGTTACAAATTCAGAATACTCACACTGACCATTTCAAATCCATAACAAAAAAGCAGGAATTAAGTGTTAAAATATTGTAGGGCATCAAACTGTAATTTTCATTCATTTTGTATCCCTACCTTTTTCTCATTACATTTCCTTTTTTTGTTTCTGCAGCTTTCTTAGATTTAATAGATCCTTTGGGATCTAATTTCAAAGGCTGTAAGAAAATTATATTATCATTAGAATACAAAAATTGTCAATTGGCAACAAAATGCATAGTATCTCACCTGGGAAATAATCCGTTTTACTTAATTATATATACCTTTTCTGTTGGCAAAACTATTTATTCAGGGTACAATTATTTATTACTGGTTTAGCTCTGATAATGTCCTTGGTACTGAACAAGATGTAAATATCAAGACAGTCCCTGGCCTGAAAAACTTAAAATCTAGAAGAGAAGCACAAAATGATAAAATGTACTGAGTCATTTTAGATAACTTTTAAAAGATCTTAATCTGACCAGATTGATATTTTTGTTAACATGAAGGCTTGGGGCACTGAGACTCAGAGGTTGATCCATGAATGGAGAGCTGCCTGGGAGAAAAAAAGGCACAAAGCCAGGATATGAGAAGGAAGCAATTGATGCAGGAGCATCAACACATCATAAAATGAATGAAGAGGAATGCAGATATCTATGTCAGGCAGAGTTGTGCAGGGCCTTATAGACAAGGATAAGTTTAACATTGACATGGTGGGCAAAGGGAAATGAATGAGGCATCCCAAATTGAGGGGTGAAATAGTCCAACCAGCAAGGACCATACTTCTGGCTGCTCTGTTTTCAACATTTTGGAATGAGCAATATGGATAACGGAAAGGCCACATAGGAGAAAAGTAAAGTAATTAAAGCAAGAGCAAACTAGTACATGCAATGAAGGTTATTTACCTGTGACTGAGGTTCTTTAAGATGGACTCTCACATTCTTGGAATTACGTGCCAACTGATGCAGCTGAACAGTGGGACTTTCTGTTAGCAGTGTCTGTTAGAGAATTGGAGCATTCAGGTGCCACCTCCCACCCCTCAGCTCAGCATTCAACCAAGTTCTCAGGACAGGGTTATAAAAGTGGGTGCTGCAGCAGTTGCCATCTCAGTTCCTTCCAGCACTAATGCAGAGCAAAGATTAATTACAACTCTGAAGAAGGGGGGAAGGAGAGCAGAAAGTGTGAATATGCAGAATCCATCTCAGAAAACCTCAGTTACAGGTAAGTATCCTTAATTCGTTCTCAAGTGTCCTCTGAACATTCCCACTTTTAGGATAGTTTGGTAGGCAGTCTACAGAAAAATGGGTGGTAGGACAAGATGTCCTAAATAATTAAAGATTGGAAGACTGCCCTGCCTATTAAGCATCATACGTAGCAGCTATGTCTTATGTGTAATGTTTAAAGTGTGTACTGAGCTCCATGTGATGCTTTATAAATTTCAATTAATGGAACATGTCTCAAACATGCTGTAGAATAGGGGTCAGCAGCCTTTGGCACATGGCCCAACAGGGTAATCTGCTGGCGAACCGTGGCCACTGGGAGCTGCGGGGGGGAAGGGAGGGTGTGCCTGAGGACGGTCAATGTAAACAAAATGTCTCATGGCCCGCCAGCGGATTACCCTGATGGGCCATGTGCCGAAGGTTGCCAACTCCTGCTGTAGAAGTAGTGACTGGTAGAATATGTTTTAATAACAGGAGTACGAGATCGTCAAACATTCTTATAACCCTCTTCTTTAAATTGTCTGACCTATCTAGATAAAATTTGAGCAGAAACAGTTTTCCCCTTACAATTATCCATACAGGAAGCAAACAGCTTATGTGAAGTCCTAAAGATCTTGATTCTATCTAGATAGTAAGATAAAATGTCAAATAGTTTATATGCCAGTTCCCAAGAGAGTTTGCCTTTCTTTTGAAAAGTTCCTGATATGCTTTAAAATCATCCCCCAATGAGTGTGAAAGTTTTCTCCAGTGAGTGTAGAGAAAAAGCTCTAAGTGAAGAAGGTTCATCTTGCATCTCTTCATCCTCTTCCCAAGAGCTAGACTGTTGAGGTTCTGATATCAGCTGAGGTGCCGGATGACTGTGGTGTATCCTCATGGTTCATCTGAGAGTCTGAATGGAGTCTCTGACAGAAGTTGAAAAATGACTGGCCAGTTTTCAATACTGAAACTAGAGGGCCCCGTACATCCAAGGTTGAAATCCATAGGGATAGGGCTTATTAGCTCACAGTGGTTGTCCCCAGGGTAAAAAGATTAGATCTTGAGATTTCTCGCATGTATGGTGTCTGCAGAGCAACATTTTATAAATGCAATTAAAGGTCCATAAGCCATTTCAAGGACTCCTCTGTGACATGATAGATATCATACATTTCACCTTTGAATCCATATTTACAACACTGCATTATGAAATATTCAATGGCTTTGACGTTTTCACCGCAGTCCCACAAAGCAGAGTCTCTGATTTTCCACTTGTGCATGAAGTAGCTGCAGCTTCCAGTGCTGAAGACTACTCAGAACTTCCCATCTGGCAGGTTATTGACAACATGCCCCCAAAATACTTAAAATGTCAAAAAAACACTATGGACCACCTCATGTTTCTGGATCCAGCCATGGAAGGGCAAAGTGTCTGGATGTCATCAACTGTTCCAAACGAGCACATTATTACTGACACAAAAAGTCACCCTCCCAGTTTCAGCCTGCCACACAGACTTTGGACCACAAAACTGCATCTGAACAGGTCTTGAGCTAACACCATGAAAGTGAGATCCTTAGCGCACTTAAATTTGTCTTTTGATTTGAGATGGAGTGGGCATCAATGGGCTACGATCTGATGACTGATTCCTGCTAGGCACTTGAGAAGATGAAGAATCCACAAAAAGAATGACAAGAGACTGACGGCTGTACTGACGTTTTTGAAGCAGACTGCCCATCATGTTTATGTGTATGGGAGTACCCTTGGTTGCTCTAATGGCGATTTAGATTCAATTGAAAAAAGAGAATAGTTCAACAGAGGAAACTATAATTCAGGAGTTATCCTGATGTCTGCTGCTTCTCTGAAGAAGAGTGCTGAAGAAGTTCCCAGTGCCTCAGTTGTAAGGGGCGGGGGAGGGGGTGGGGAAGAGTACCAAAATTGCCTTCCACCCCTTATCAGGAGGACATGCTTTCAGTGCCTTACACTGAGGCTAAAATCTTTGATGCTGTCTGGATCAAGGAACGAGGCTGCTGACATCCTAGTGCTGAAGCATCTGACTGTGCTAGATACATTTAGATTGTTGCCATAGTACCATGGAAGCTTGCGCCATGCAAGTTTTCTTCAATCCTTTAAGGCTTGGAGCTGAAGTAGAGGCATATCCCTCCAGTACTGCATAGTACAAAGGGAAATCATGCCTAACCAATCTACTAGAATTCTTTGAGGGGGTCAACAAGCATGTGGACAAGGAGGATCCAGTGGATATAGTGTACTTAAATTTTCAGAAAGCCTTTGACAAAGTCCTTCACGAAAGGCTCTTAAGCAAAGTGAGCTGTCAGGGGATAAGAGGGAAGGTCCTCTCATGGACTGGTAACTGGTTAAAAGATAGGAAACAAGGGATAGGAATAATTGGTCATTTTTCAGAATGGAAAGGTAAATAGTGGTGTCCCCTAGGGGTCTGAACTGGGATCAGTCCTATTCAAAATATTCATAAATGATCTGGAAAAACGGGTAAACAGTGAGGTGGCAAATTTGCAGAGGATACAAAACTACTCAAGATAGTTAAGTCCCAAATAGACTGCAAAAAGCTACAAAAGGATCTCACAAAACTGGGTGACTGGGCAACAAAATGGCAGACAAAATTCAATGTTGATCAATGCAAAGTAATGCACACTGGAAAATATAATCCCAACCATACATATAAAATGATGGGGTCTAAATTAAGTGTTATTACTCAGGTGAAGTTTCTCCAGATTGGATCAAGAACCCGGCCGTCATCCTGTGAGAGCAGGTCCGCCAGGAGTCAGAGAGTTTGTGGGGTGCATACCATGGGCGGCAGATAAGGGTATCAAGTCTGTCTGGGCCACATCAGAGCTATTAGTATGACTTTGGCTTTGTCAACATGTATCTTGTGTATAATCTGCCAGAGCAGCAGTATTGGAGGGAATGCATAAAGGAGAGATGAGTCCCATCCGATTAGGAAGGTGTCCCATAGTGATTGGGGTCCCAGCCCTGCCCTCGAGCAAAAGTGAGGGCATTTGTGATTTTGTGCTGTCATGAATAGGTCGATGCAGGGAAGCCCCATCATTGGAATATGGGTTATAGGACTCCTTTGTTCAGCTCACATTCGTGGTCCTGTAAGAATTGCCTGCTCAGTGTGTCCACAGTCGTGTTCTGGCAGCCGGGGAGATAGGAAGCTGAGATGTTGACATAGCTTATGCACCAGTTCCACAACTTCATGACCTCAGTGCATAGGGAGTGGAAGCAAGCTCCTACCTGTTGACTTATATAGAACATGCAGACAATGTTGTCGGTCATCACACATATTGTTTTGTTCTTTATCATTGGGAGGAAATGGTGGCACATGTTGAAGATTGTGCATAGTCCTAGTAAATTGATGTGTAGCTGGGTCTCCATATATGACCATATTCCTTGGATTATATGGTGGCTCAGGTGGGAGCCCCAGCCTATCAATGAGGCATCTGTTGTTATTATTAATAAAGGTGGATTCTGGTGAAAAGAGTGGGTGGCAGTGTTAGGCTTCTGCTCAGTTTGTGCTTGCTCGGTATGTACGCTGAATTCAGCCAGCCTTGTAGGCAGTGCATACGTAGTCTCGCATGCTTTATCATGAAAGTGGTGGCCGCCATGTGACCTAATAGCTGTAGATATGTCATGCCGATATTCAGGGGCTGGTCATGAATACCGAGATACGGTTGGTCAGTGTTATGAATGCCCTGGCCCCTCTGAAGTCGAGGTGTACCCCAATGAAGTCCAATTGTTTTACCGGAACTAGGATTTATTTTTGTTCATTTATTTGTAGCCCTAGTTCTCAGAAGAGAGTAATAGTCCTCCAAATGATGTCCGTTGCTTCTAACGGGGTAGGCCTTTTTAGTAAACAGTTGTCTAGATATGGGAAAATCATTATCCCTTGTTTGCATAAGGATGCGGCTACTACCGCAAGGGTTTTGGAGAAGACTCCCAGGGGGATGGAAAGGCTGAATGATAAGACTCTGTATTGGTAGTGGCGCATCCCCACTTTGAACCGGAGGAATCGTCTGTAAACAGGATGCATGGTGATGTGGAAGTAGGCATCTTGCAGGTCTTTCCAAAACTGGTATTATTGTGGCCCAGGTGACCATTTTGAATTTTTGGGCCCGTATGAACTTGTTGAGCTTTTGGAGATCTAGAATGGGTCTCCATCCTCCGTTCTTCTTCTGGGTTAAGTAGTAATGGAAGTAGAAACCCTTCCCCCTGTGCTGTGGAGGAACTAGTTCCATGGCACCTGTATAAGATGCTCTACTTCTTGCTGTAGCAGGTACCTGTGAGAAGGATCCCTGAAGAGGGACAGGGCTGGGGGTAGGCTTGGTGGGCAGGAGGTAAAAGGGATGATGTAGCCTGATCTTACAATCTCTAGAACACATTGATCTGTAGTTATTGCTGCCGAGACATGGTAAATAGGGCATAATCCGTGACCAAAGATCTGGGTACCATTTGGTAATCACACCATCTGGTGAGGGAGGTTGTTCAGACCCTCAACCAAATTTTCAAATTTGTTGTTTGGTCAATGTTGGTTGTGACATTGAGGATCGAGTAGGAGACGCTCTGCACCTCTGTGGTCACTGTCTAGGTCTTTGGGGTTCATATTGACATTGCTGTTGTTGTTGGAACGGGGTGTCTCTGACTTGTTGATAAGGCTGGTACCATCTCCATTTCGTGGCTGATGTGTATATATACCGAGAGTATGGAGGGTAGCTTGGGAATCTTTCATCAAGTGGAGGACCTCATCCATTTTGAGAGAGAAAAGCTTTTCTCTGTCAACTGGGAGATCCTCCACCTTCACTTGGAGATCTTTTGGAATCCCTGAAGATTGCAGCCATGAAGCTCTACGCATCACTATGGCTGTGCTTGTTGTTCATGCCACTGTGTCTTCTACATCCAGGGAGGCTTGTAGTGCCATTCTGGTGACCAGCTGTCACTCAGCCAGTGTGTTCTCTGGGAGGTCATTAATAAAGTTGTTCAGTTTGCCATAATTATCATGATCATATGTGGCTAGGAGCGCACTGTAATTGGCAACTCAGAATTGTAATGCCGCCATAGAATAGATCTTTCAACCAAAGTAGTTGAGTCCCTTGTACTTCTTGACCTGTATTGTGGTTTGTTTGCCTCGTTGGTTTGCGGCCTCTACTGCTAGTGAACTGGGTGGCGGATGGGAAAAAAGGGAAATCTATATCCTTGGCCAACACATAGTACTTCCTGTAAGCCTTCTTGCATGTCAGTGGTACAGTAGCTGGCATTTGCCAGACTGTCTCCACTGGTTCCATAATGGCTTCATTTGTGGGTAATGCTATTTTTGGAAGATGATGTTTATAGAATTTGGAGGAGGTTGTGCTGGGTATCCTGCACCTCCTCGAGTAGAATTTCCTGACTCTGGGCTACCCTTTTCAACAGTTCTTGGAACTGATTGAAATTGTCACCCATGATGGGATGGGGGCATTATACCTTCATCTGGTGATGAAGAAGAATTATGTGCAAGTGATGTTAATCATGCTCGATACCCTCTTCCCTCTCATTCCGTTTCCTCCTGGGCTTCTGAGGTTTCCAATGTGGAACATGATGGTGGTGATCTAATTTCACCTCTGGATGGAGTTTATGGTCAGGTGTAATGAGCCCTGTACGCTGCCCATGGGTCCCAAAGTAGCCATTGTATGGGGAATGCCACAGGTGGGCACATCCATGGTTGTCGGTACCACGATTGCATTTCTCGTCTATAGTGGGCCTTCGATTTCCTGGATTCCCAGTGGAAGAATGATGTGAAGAGAAGGCACCCTCCTCCTGGTCATCGTCATCTTCACTCGAGAGTGAGGTGGTAGGGGATGCTACTTGGTCCAGTGCGATATGCTCAGGGGAGCCATCAGTGCCGAAGAGTGGGGACTGTAGTACAGAGGAAACTGTGATGTCCTTTTGTTGCAAGAACTGCTGCAGTGCCATTAGTTTCAGTGCCATTGGTACCGATGTCACTGTTTTAGATGGTACCCTGGATGCCAATGATTTGTAGCCCGACGTCCTTGGTACAGGCAGTGCCATCTTGGCTCTATCTGACAATGGAGTCATCAGTGCCGGTGATGGAGGCAGAGCCACTGGTGAGGGCCTTGATACCATGTCTCTCACCAGCATTGTTGATGCCGTAGAGGAGGAGGCAGGCTTAGGTTGGTGCCTTCACTCATCCTTCAGATGGGGCAGAGGTCCTGGTGTGGACAATGCCAGAGGTGCCCGATGCCTCAAAGTTGCTCACCCATGGGGTGGTCGGCACTGAGGACAGTGACCTGGCAAGAAACAGTTTCTTTTTATGCAGTTGTCTCTGCAGAGAAGTTGTGGCTCTTTTCCTTGCTCTTTTAGAGGAATGAGCATTGTCCTTAGTTGAAGTGGATGTGCTCAGGGAACCCCTGTGGAAGGAGTCTGTTGCCATGGTTCAGAGGCCAGTTGGAGAGATTTCTCCACCAGAATAAGTTTTAAGTGGAGGTCTCAATTACACCTGGCCCGCGCTTTCAGATTGCTGCAGTGGAGTGCACTTCTGAGGAATTGTGACTCACCAAGGCAGCTAACACAGAGAGAATGTCCATCTGAGACCAGCATTGCTTTGCGGCATGAGCCGCATCTCTTAAAGCCTAGAGAACCAGGCATTGTTGAAGTGGGTTAAGTGCTCCCGCTCTGATGAAAATAAAAGGGAGAAAAAAGAAAAGAAAATGTTAACTGACTAAAACTAACTCAACTAACACTGTCTGTATTAGGAAAAGTCTAAAACTATTTCTAATTCTATTTCTCTAGGCTTGAGAGAGATGCTGAGATACTACCACGGAGCTCCATCTCAGGCCAAAGATGGTTGAAAAGAAACTGAGGGGGTCAGGTTGTACATGTGCTAGAGGAGGTGCCAATGGCACCATGAAATAGACACCGCACATGAGTGACCTGCACGGATGCTGCTACTGAAAATCTCCAATTGACGGCACAGGGACGCATCGACACCTGAAGTGGAGCACCACAGGGACATCATTCGAAGAAGAACCAGGTCAACTAGAGTAGGAAGAGTCCCTGAAATGCTGCGTCTTGATCCAAGACAGCAGTCTAGTAGTGTGTTCTCATGATAGGTATGTTTAAGTAACTGGGGTATCATGAGGGTTCAGCACTAGTGCTGGGGCCTAGAACAGCTGTGCTGTGAAGTTCCACTTCCATGAAGGGGTTACAGGCCCAGGAAGTGTGCCAGAGAGTCCAAAGAAAGAGACCGTGTTCGAGCCTACCCAGATCAAAGAAAACTTAAAAGCACACAAGTCCAGAGTGATGGGATCCAAACAATGTGGCCGAATGAGTGTCCAACAGGAGGAGTTTGGCCAGAGCTATGATATATAGGTACAAATTACCCCTTCCCAGAGCTCAGTTTGAACTTTCTAAAACCTTATCTATGAGGCAGGACTTTCAGAAGAGCCCTTGAAGTTCTGGTAGTAAGGGGCAGTTTTTGAAAGAGGCATATTACAACAGCAAGAAGGGAAACAAAAAAAAGAATGATGGCAAAGGAAAAGGACAGGATGGAGAAAAGGATAAGACAGAAAGGTGTAATTTCTAATGGTCCTAGTAATAAAGCAATAATCCCATTTTTATCAAAACATACTGAAAGAAAGAAACTAATCATGCAAACTTATGTGGTGTGGTATTTGTAGTGCACCTTTAGAGCTGTCTTTTTAATTTTGGGGGGGAATTACAACAGGGACTTATATTTCAGATAAATAAGTAAAGTTTTAGGGATAAGAAAGGCTGTAATAATTTTTTGCATGTCACCCCCCTCCCCCACTCAGTCTACTAGAAAAACCTATACTATTAGGACTGCTGTTGTAAAATGAGGGAGAAAGTCTACAAAATCAGATCACTGGATAAGAAATAGTCCTTATAGTTGGTAAAGTCACAATTATCTTTGAAAAATAAGGCTTAACTATATTGTAAATATGGTTTCATTTATACTTCATCTAATCTACATTTTTAAGAAAAAGCATGAAAGGAAAAATACTAATTTTCTTACAGTTTCTGACTTTTCTTCTGTATGGTTTTTTTCCCCCTTTGATTCTTCTTTCATTTTAACAGTTAACAATGGGAGTGACCCTTTGTCAGTAGAATGACTTTGCTGTACCCTCTCATATTCAGGCTGAGGAAACTGAAGTTTTGGAGTCTCTTCCATGACACCAGCAGATTCTTTAGCTTTATACGGTTGTTCTCGCTCCTGAACAAGGACTTTTTCCTTTAAACTGCTTGCTGGAATTCCATACTCTTTAGAGTTTTCTTTGTCAGTTAACACTTTTTTCTCTAGTTTAACATCTTTCAGTTGAGATGTCACAGTTTCTTGTTTTTTCTCAGTTTCTACTGGAGTTTTCCTTGAAAGTAGTTCACCTGTTTGCTTTCCTGTGTTGACTGCTGGTAATTTCTGTACTGATTTATCAGTTTCATTAATAGACTTGCGTCTTGAAAATGGACGATCCTCTCCCTTACCTTTAGATTTTGTTGGAGGTTTGCCATTCTTTGATAAATCTTTACCATTTATTTTCATATCAGTGTCAGCATTCTTCTCATCAGCCTCAGGATAAATAAAGTGCATATCTTGAACATGGGAAGGTGTTACTGATTTTGTGAACTGCCTGTTAGCTTTTACAGCTTCCTGTTTAAAAAATATTAAAAACAACATTTACAATAACCTCTATGTTGCATGTAAGCCCCAATTCAGCAAAACATTTAAATAGCTGCTTAAATCCCACTGACTTGATTTTAAGAATGTATTAAAGTACTTTGCAGAATAGGGAGTGGTTTTCTTACATATTTAAAGTCCAGCACATACTTAAGTGCTTTACTGAACCGGTGTCACAACCATTAACTTTTATAAATAAAAATATTATGAAACAATTACTTAAAGCTTTCCAAATAGGAATTAACTGAAAATAGATAGGTTGAATTATGTTTTTAAAAGAAACTGTAATTTATTACTGGCAAATTCATGAACGGCTAAAAAGGGGCACTTTCAAAATAAAGTTCATTCATGTATCAAATGCAAAAACTTATATTAACAAAACATTACATTTGCACAGCTAAAAAAAAAAATAGGAAATACAAAAATTAAAGTTCCTATAGAAATGTTATCCATGTTGCAGATATATAGAATGGTCATTCTTGTTTTTCTTGTTAAATTTGTAGTTTAATAAATTATTAAATTTATAGCATTAAGTCCGCAAGATGTACACTGTGACCAAGTTAATCTTACGGTAGGAAATTTCATGTTTGCATTTCCTGGCTTTTTTATTTTAACTATGACATTTTAATGTTTTATTTACATTTTATTAGCATTTAGTTTCTTTTTCAATTTGCCCATTCAAAATAATGGCAAATTTTAATTCCATTTACCTGAAAATTTGCTGTACAAGACTAGGTCAAGACAGCAAAATGTTTTTCTCCCTTCACTCTGAAACAGGCAGGATGATCATTAAGGATTTCAGTACCTTCTAGGGACTCCTCCTCTTCACTTCCCAACTCAAAAATGTTCCTTCCCAAGAAGGAATTAAAAATAAAATACCAAACAAAAAAGAGTGCCAAGATTTCATCTGAAAATGGTTCTTTGCCTATTTCATCCTATTCATCTGTTGAAGGGGAGATTTCTTTCTTCACTTATCTAACCAGATAACCAACTCTGATAAGTGCAAACAGACTTTTTCAGGAGAGATTCTATCATCTTCCCCTAGAACATCTGGTGTTGGCCCTTTTGGAGAAGGGATACCAGACTAAACAGACTACTAGTCTGACTTGGTATGGCAATTCCTGTGTTCCCTTTAAAATCTCTCAACAGGTGATCTTTAATTGTGCAACACCAAATGCCATGGGTAACTGATGCTACAAAAAAAATGTTTAATAACCTGTTCTGTAACTGTTGTTCTTTAAGATGTGTTGTACATGTGTCAAGGTTCCTTCCCCACTCTGAACTCTAGGGTACAGATATGGGGACCTGCATGAAAAACCCCCTAAGCTTATTTTTATCAGCTTAGATTAAAACTTCCCCAAGGTACAAACTATTTTACCTTTTGTCCCTGGACTTTATTGCTGCCTCCACCAAGCATCTAACAAATATAACCGGGAAAGAGCCCACTTGGAAACATCTTTCTCCCCAAAATCCCCCCAAGCCCTACACCCCCTTTCCTGGGGAAGGCTTGATAAAAATCCTCACCAATTTGCATAGGTGAACACAGACCCAAACCCTTGGATCTTAAGAACAATGAAAAAGCAATCAAGTTCTTAAAAGAAGAATTTGAATTAAAGAAAAAGTAAAAGAATCAACTCTGTAAAATCAGGATGGTAAATACTTTAAAGGGTAATCAGATTCAAAACATAGAGAATCCCTCTAGGCAAAACCTTAAGTTACAAAAAGACACAAAAACAGGAATATACATCCCATTCAGCACAACTTATTTTTATCAGCCATTTAAACAAAACAGAAATCTAACGCATATCTAACTAGATTGCTTACTGACTTTTTACAGGAGTTCTGACCTGCATTCCTGCTCTGGTCCCAGCAAAAAAAAACCCCATAGACAGAGAGAACCCTTTGTTCCCTACCCCCTCCAGCTTTGAAAGCATCTTGTCTCCTAATTGGTCATTTTGGTCAGGTGCCAGTGAGGTTGTCTTAGCTTCTTAACCCTTTACAGGTGAAAGGGTTTTCCTCTGGCCAGGAGGGATTTAAAGGTGGTTAGCCTTCCCTTTATATTTATGACAACATGTCCATTCCACTCTTGGTGTATGAGCTCCCCAAGCACAGATGTCGGAAAATTTTCCCTTGGCTACACCCATTGGGGTGGCTTGATCGTCTTCTACTGCCTTGTGCCACTGCATGCAAGTATTAAGAGTGGAGCCACCCTCAACCCACCTTAGTTCCTCCTTGCCAGAAAAACTCCAATGTAGAGGGGTCAGAGGGCAGGTCATGGAATGGACACATGCCACACATCTCTCAGAAAAACAGTTATGGAACAGGTTACTAACCGTTTTTGGTTCTTTGAGTGATTTCACAGATGCATTCCACTCTTGGTGATTCACAAGCCTTGAAACCAGGAGGTAGGCTCAGAATCACTCTGAACAAGGGGTTAAGGTCAACTCACCTAAAACTGGCATTGTCTCTAGCAGGCTGAGTGATGGCATAGTGGGATGCAAACATGTGTACTGAAGACCAGGTTGCTGCCTCTCCACAGGCAGCAACATCTCCCCTCTAGCAATTAGGGCCCAAGGCAGCAATTACACCCAACAGTTCATCTCCGGTGACAGCCTTTCCTAGTGGGTGCAACTCTCAAGTGGCGCCCCCGCCTAATGGGTACAGTTCACAGGTGGGTAAAAGGATCTGGGCCCTCTCAGTGTGACACTCTGTATCTAAAGGGAACACCCTACACCCCCATGTTCATCTTTATAAAATGACTGTGTGGTATCCGATACCAAAGTTTGTCATGTTGGATGTCTTTGGAAGGCTCATGATGCACTGAGCATTGTTGTTACAGTACTGTTATAGTAATGTTATAGGTTATAATTTCATATATGTAGTTATGAGGCTGAAAATGTATCCTCATGGCTTAAAATAAGCCCAGGCAAAAACTCTCCAAGAACAGAGAGGCAGTTCACACCTCATCAGGGCAGGTATGGGACAAACCCAGCCCAGCCTCACAGGAACAAAGGACACTGGCCTAGGCAGCAACAAAAGGATCTGTTGGACTCTTGAGTGAGTCACTCCACTTCCTTTAGTCAGTTTGGGACTGCAATGAGGTAATGCTCACTTGACTCTAAAGTGGGGGGAGGGGCGGCAAAGCCAGGAGGGAAGAAAGAACATGGTAAAAAGGAGAGACATTTGCCATGTTCTTCCTCTCTCTTCCACCTACATCTACAGACACCACACCAAGCGACTAAAGCGCTGATCAAAGGGGAGAGCCTGGCTGAAGGGCAACAGCCAACCTGTGGTGAGAAGCATCTAAGTTTGTAAGGGCATTGAAAGTGTTAAGATCAGCTTAGAATGTATTTTGCTTTTATTTCATTTAACCAAATCTGACTTGTTATACTTTGACTTATAATCACTCAAAATTTATCTTTATAGTTAATAAATCTGTTTATTCTACCTAAATCAATGTGTTTGGTTTGAAGTGTGTCAGACACTCCCCTTAGGATAATAAGCCTGGTACATATCAATTTCTTTGTTAAATCGATGAACTCATAAGCTTGCAGTGTCCAGCACGCTTAATAGGAGCCACTGCAAGACGGAGGCTCCTAGGGTTGTGTCTGGGACCAGAGATACTGGCTAGTGTCATTCGGTTGCACAATCCAAGGAGCACCTTACATGCCAGAGGCTGTGCGTGAACAGCCCAGGAGTGGGGGTTCTAACAGCAGAGCAGGGTAAGGCTGGCTCCCAGAGTCAAGGATTGGAATGACCTAGCAGATTACCGGTCCAGACAAGACCAGAGGGGAACATCACAATTGGACTCCAACACTGAGCCCTGGGAGGCTGGTTTGGCTTTACTTCCCAGTGGTGCCTACTGTCAGCCTAAAGTTAGCTTCCCTGTGTCACTTCCAACCTTCCTCTGCATCCCAGCTGGCCACTGGACATCCCTGGAGAGTGCTGCCTTCTAGGCTTCCAGCCCTGCTCCCAGTCTCTATGTGTTGCAGCTCCCCCATTCTTTTGACTTGGTGTGGGCTCTGCTCCCATCCTTCCCTGGAGTTCCCAATGCACGTCCTTCTCCCTGGCCTACTAGCCCTGTCTTAGCTGTCCGGCAGCCTTTTAAACTAAAAGCATGGGCAGAGGGGTGGGGCCTCCTTAGCCCAGAGTTGCTTCTTATTTCCTCCTGTCCAGTGAGGGGTTTTTACACCCCATCACACACCCTCTCCCTCAGGTTCAGTCCTGTGGTTCTTCTCCCCCCCACCCAGGAAAAAGTCATTGATTTGTGATTTTTCTCCTTCCCGGTGCAGGATTTCAGAGCTGTATGGCTACAATGAGAGGTACCACCTCATAATTCTGTGGTTGGTGTCTTTCATTGTGTTCAGCCACCATAGCGGGGCATGGTCAGTCATTAGCTGAAAGGTATTCCCCCACAAATAGTACTTCAAAACATCCACAGCCCATTTCACTGCTAGGGCCTGCTTCTTGATGTCTGAATAGGAGGTTTCTCATGGGGACAACTTCCTGATGAGGTATACTATGGGGTGTTCTTCTCCATCAATGTCTTGGGACAGTATCATGCCCAGACCCACCTCAGAGTTGTCTGTTTGGAACAAACTTCTTGGTGAAGTTGGGTTTGGTGAGCACAAATTCTCAACTCAGGCCCTCCTTTAGCTCCTGGAAGGCCCTCTCACAGGCTACCATCCACAGGACCTTCTTGGTGCTGGTGTCCTTTATCAGGTCTGTCAAGGGCACTACAATGGTAGCAAAGTTGGTCATGAAGCATCGGTAGTACCCAGGGAAGCAGAGGAAATGGCATACCTGGTCTTTTGTCATGGGGATGGCACATTTCACCAGGGCCTGCACTTAGTCTCAACTGCCCTCCTTTCACTCAGTAGCCCTAGTACATCACCTCTCACCTGCAGTCATCATTTTCAAGCTGAGGGCTCCCGAAGGGCTTGTAGGACAGATATGTGCCTCAGATGATCTTT